CACAGGGCTCGCTGCTCTCAGGGTAGAGCCCGCTTTGGATCCTCTGTAAACATACCCCCATCCCTCCCTCCCCTCTCAAAAATAAACAAACATTTTAAAAACTAACTAAATAGAGATAATAAAAGAACCTACCTAGTGGGGGTGTTTTGGAGGATTTGATAGGACAAGGGAGGTAAAGCACTGGGCACAGTGCCTGGCACATAGTAAGTGCTCAGGAAATGCTGGCTGCTGTCATCAGTGCCATTTCAGTACGGGAGGTGGAGGCTGAGAAACAGCTGTCACCCCAAGAGCCCTCTGCCTGCTCTGTGCTTCATCTCAGGACTCTGAGTCCATCAAATGCTGATCAGCAGGGAAGGTGTGGGTGGAAGAAATGTACAGAGAGAAACAGAATTCTAAACCGAACCTGGTTCAGCTCACCTCCTAAAAGGCAGCTCCCTCAGGCCATCAGAACATCTGAGAGACCATGGTCCTGAGGCCAGTCCCGGCCGATCCCTTGCCCCAAAGGCCACTAGTTTTCGGCTGAAAAGTATGGGGCTGTTCTGGGCAACTTGCCAGTCCCCCTGGAAGCTCCTCTCTGAGCACTGGAAACAAAGAGGCTGAGGAGGGACAGGTCCAAGGTGTTCTGGTCTCCATAGGAGGCAACGCGCATACAACACGACTCCTTTTCATACCCGTCTCTGGGGTCCCAGACGCCCTCGGCACCGCAATCCTCAGACCCATCACCCCGTGCCTGGTTGAATCCAGCCTTGCCCCAAATATCACATCCTTTGAGAACCTTATCCTGACCGGCAGGCAGAGATGGTCACCTCTTTAACTGCCCATCCCTCTATTATAGCGCTGGCTTCATCATTGCTAGGACCGACCGCCCACTTGGGCGCACAGCCCTTCCTGTGCGGGGCCCTGCTCTGACTCGTTACTCGTATCAATTCATTTAATCACCATGACAACTCTACGAAGTAGGTGCTATGATTATCCTGTTTATACACGAGGAAACCGAGGCGCAGAGAGGTTAGAGGACATGTCCAGTGTCACCTAGCTGGAAGTGGGGAAGCCTGGATTTGAACCCCAGCCGTGTGGTTCCACAGACTCTACAGTCTTAACTGTGAATTCCTGGAAGGCAGGTGGGGGTGGGGGGGTGACACCTAATTAGCCTCTGTCCCTAGCACCCAGCACAGGTACACAGTAGGTGCTCAGAAAAGATGGGTTGACTGTACAAGCAAATACTTGCTTCAGGCTAACTTGGTGAATATTCCAGCCTTTGAGCTGCAGGTCAGAGAAAGCGAGCCCCTCTGGGAAATGTAAGATAAAGGCACACCCCCTTATTCACTCTCTTAGCGCTCTCACCTCAGTGTTGCCTGTCTTGTCTGCTGCTGTCTTGTCTTTTGCCTTCTGTTTTTTGTTTGTTTGTTTCTCTTATCTTCTGCCTTTGTGCTCCTCCCCTTGTGTTCCTTGGTCACTCTTCCTACCCTGTCCCATCCAGCCCTGCCCCCACTGTTCTTCCCAGCAGCTCTTGCATACTTGAAAGACTCCTACCCCCATTCTTGGCCTTAAAGCATTTATAGAGGCCACGCTTGCCCAAGGAGGCTGAGAACCCAGTGAAATTGACTCATTACACTGGCCGTGGACCAAGCTCTGACACCCTGACCCTGAATGAAAACAGCAATTTCCCCATCAATTCTACCTGGATGCAGAGTGGGAGTTCAGGTGGAGGGGGGGGGTTCGTTGCCTACCTACAGCTTGTCACGGATCTCTGTGGGATGAGGAAGACCCACTGTCCTTGCCTCCTCTATCAGGGTCCCAACTCCTCCAAACAGCCTTGCCTGATCACTTGAGACAGCTTACTCATGCAACCACTCAGCGAATCCTTGTATATTCTAACACCCTAACTGAGAAGAGGAGGCATGCTTCTGAAAAATTTGGTTACAATGTAACTTCAGATAACTGTGCAAGTGACCAGGTGCCACAGGCATCATAAAGGCCAAAGGAATTGCAGACAGTCAGTGATTTCAAAACAGAGACCTATTTGACGTGGGGCCAGTAGTTTCTTCTCTCTGGTTCTCAATATCCTAGCTATGAAGACGGGGGTGATAATCTAGACCTCCGAAGGTCAGGAGCATTGAATGGGATAGTTTTCGTAAAGGTCCTGATGGACTGGTGCTTGGCATGTGCCAAATAACACGTTTGTTTCTGTCTCCCGTCTCAGTCTAAAACAGTGGCCTTCTCCTCCACCTCTCAGATAAATGGTGAGATACGAATGGGTCCAGCCTTTCAGATCAGAAATGTCTTAATGACAGGATGACCCTGGGTCTGTAAGCTTTGTGGTAAGTGGCATGTTGTGGAGATGGGCCTGTCAGGCTAGAGGTCACCCACTCACTGCGATGATGATGACAGTTCACTAGAATTGTCCTTCCCCCAACCCAAGCAGTGGGTCTTTGAAAAAGCCTGATGGACGCAGAGCTAATCAGGTGGGGAAGCCCAAATACAAGTTCACTTCTGCCCCGAGACATGGAGGTTTGTTTAAAGTGTATTTATTTATTTTGAGAGCGACAGAGACATCATGAGCAGGGGAGGGGCAGAGAGGAGAGAGAGAATCCCAAGCAGGCTCCACGCTGTCAGTGCAGAGCCTGATGCAGGGCTCGAACTCACGAACCATGAGGTCATGACCTGAGCCCAAACCAAGAGTCAGACACTTAACTGAGCCACCACGTGCCCCTATACAGAGGTTTGTTTAATTGCTGTATCCTCAGCTCTTAAAATAGTACCAGGCACATAGTAGGTGCTCAACAAATTATTGAATTTTTTTATTTTTTAAAGCAATGGATTTCCTTTTTTTTCTTTCAAATAAAAAGATGGGGGAGTGGGTTAGGAGGGACAAATGGCAGGGTCCAGGGACAAATGCCAGGGAAATGCAGCTGCCTGGCCTGCCAGCCCAGGCTCTGCCTCTACAAAAGGAATACAGCCAAGTCAACAGTGCATGTGTCCCCACCTTCAGGATGTCGGGGAGCACACATGCCTGCCTTGTGATTTACGCTGCAGTTTTCAGAAGAGCAGGGGGGCAAAGGTGGAGACAGAGAGCAGGAAGGAAGGGAGGGAGGGAGAGGTCTTGGAGAGCAGGGGACAGAAAGGGAAACAAGGAGAGGAAGCAGGTGGAGGAAAGAGAGGGAATGGGAGGAGAGAAAGAGGAGGAAGGAGGGAGGCACAGGGAGAAAGGATGAAGTGGGGAGCAACTGTGTGGACAGTTACAAAGGAAGCCTGCTATCTCAGCAGACCCCTGAGTTCCCACCGCCTCTGCTGTCTCCTTCCCGTGAGGCTGTGCAAGGGGACAGGGGGATTTGGGGATGCTCCTAATACCAGGTGTCCCCCAGGCCCCTGGCAGGGCACTGAGGCCAGAATCCCATCCCAGTCTGGAGGGACCCCCGACGCAGGAAGGAGGAGACTTGGTGTGAGCCAGCCCAGGGGCAAGAAAAGGGCCTGGAAGGCTCAGACCCCAAGCTGTGTCCTTCTCTTTCTGCCTTCCCCACACAAGGGCACCTGGCCAGCCAGGAAAGTGGGTCAGGCCACCTACATCGGACTTTTTTCTAATAACAACAGGGCTCACAGGCAAGGGGGGGGCATCAGCGCCCTATACACGGCCCCTGCCCACCCCATGCCTAGTGGTCTTTGCTGGTGGGACCTTTAAGAAGCAGTGGGCAGTGGGAACGGATCCTGGCTTTCTCGCTCAGGAAGAAGAAGACGCTGCTGGACCAGGGCCCATCCCAGGCTGGCAGGGAAGAGGGAGTCTGCTGTTGGCCTGGGAGTGCATGGAAAGACCCCAGTCTCAATGACGGTGACGGTGACGGAGCTGGTGGGAAGCCACTTCTACCCCTCTGACCGGGGGAGGCTGTTGGATCTCGACCCCACCACCTGGGGTGCTGGAGCTGAGGACGGGGACTGACCGGCGCATGTCTGACAACTGAACCGCTGGGTCCGGCCCACCCCCTCCGACCCTGCCAGTCGCCCAATTAGAAGCTGCGTCGGCTCCAACATATGGGAGCTGCGGCTGCCCGAGGAAGGAGCACCAAGCCCAGCTGGCATTTTCCTTCCTGTTCTTTCCGCGGGGGAGGAAGAGCAGGGACAGAGGGGGAGCACAGCAACACCCCCAGGGCCCAGTTCTCCTGCATCTCTTTAGATTCTCAGCTCACCCTCAACGGAGGTCAGCCCCCCACCCTCCCACCCAACCCCGCACCCAGAGAGCGGCTCCTCGCTGGTTGGGCAGCCAGAGCCTGCGCCGCCCTTCGCCTGCAGGGCAGACGGACCACCTGTGGCTGGCCAACCCCTCCTGTCTCCTGGGTGCTGCGGTGGGCCCAGAGCTGTCCTTCGTCTCCGCTTCCCACTCCCAGAGCCCCCAGCCTGGGCCCAAGCCCGGCCCATCCCCCACACCAAATGTCCCATCCCAGGCTGCGGACAAGATCCCCCAGCCGGCCCGGGAGAAGCCCGACTCCTGGTTCCAGATACTTCGAACAGACACCAAGGCCACCTTGTCCCTCCGCACGGACACCGAGCTCCAAGGAAGGGGAAGTCCCCGCGGCCCGGGAGAGCTTCCACCCCGCCAGTCCGCCCCTGTCCCGGCTTCCCTATCCCCTCTGCCACCTCTCGGCTCCCCGACATCTCCGGGCGCCGCTCTGCCCAGCAACAGTTTGGGGCGGCTCGGGCCTCCCCGCGGGCGGGGGGTGGGGGGGATTAAGGCCCAGCCGCCCCCTCCCCCGCCGCTTCGGCTGCTCTCCGCGCGATCCGCCGCCTTCTTTACATTCTCGAGCCCTGCTTCCGTCAGCCCCGGCGGCCGCCTCCCTCCCCAAGCCCCCAGCTCGCAGCCGGCGTCCCCCACGGCCCGCCCCTCCCCCAGCCACCGCCCGGCCCGGCGGGGGAAACGGGGGCGGCGGGGACCCGGGCCCCGCGCTCCCCCGCCGCCACGCCGACGGCCCCCGCGCCGCCCGGGGCTCAACCCGGGGCCGCACACTCACCCGCGGCTGCCGTCCGGGCTCCCGGGACCGCCGTCCGCCGCCCGCGCCGCCGCGCCCCGCACGGCTCCGGCTTTGGCCCGGGCTGGGCTGGGGAAGGCCGGGGCGCGCCCTCCCTCCGCGCCGCCGCCGCTGGCGGCACAGGCCGGGCAGGGTCGCGGGCGCCTTCCCCGCCGCGGAGTTGTCCGGGGAGCGGTCCTGGGTCCTGGGCCCGAGCCCGGCGAGCGCGGGGGTAGGATCGCCGTCCTCGCCGCCCCCGCCCGCACCGTCCGCGCCCCGGGCTCCGCGCCGCCCTGCGCGTCGTGGCCGGAGGCTGGCGGGCGACAGGCGGGCGCTCCCTCCGCGCCGCGCGGCCGCAAGTGCACAGAGCAGGCCCTCGCGCGCCCCGGCCCCTCCGCGCGCCCCTCCTCCCGGCTTCGCGCTCAACCTGCTCGCCCGCTTCGCCGCCGCTCCCCCAACCTCCGCGGCCCGCTCCGGTCGCCTCCTCCCCGTCTGCAAGCCACGCCACCCCCCTCCAGTCCCGCTGCCAGTTTAACTCCTGAATGGCCAGAGGCCCCCTCTCCCTAGCGCGCACACACACCCGGGAGCGAGGAGTAGGGTGGGGCCAGGAGTCGCTGGGGCCGGTGGTCCTCTCGTGCCTTTGGACGCCAGGCTTGGCTGAAAGAAGGGGACGGGGCGCCCGGATCTGAGGGGGAAAGGGATGGCTTCTCCGGTACTGCCTCAGCCTCTTGCAACGGCCAGGAGGACAGAGGGGAAATACAGCAGCTTTTAGAGGGCAGGTGCATCTCACAGGCAAAGCATGCCCCGGAGACCGCATTTTTTGCTACCCTCCGGAAGTTAACAGCAGACTAAGGAATCCAGTGGGTGGGTTAGAACTCGTTCCCTGGCAAAGGCAGCTCGCATCCTAAAGAATGAAGTGAAATGCTACCAGCCCACCCCACCAGTCCTCACGCCCTTCCAAAGCTGGGCAGCTCTGGCATTCTGGAAGACCCCGTCCTGACCCTAAGTGAAGGATGTCAATCTACATAGGTGGTGGGCAGGACCTGGCAAGTTGGCTCAGGGGCTCGGCCTTCGGGGGATGTCCATTCTATTGGCTGTGCTATGAGCACTGGGAAAAGGAGAGCAGGAGCTGATCCCTGCTGAAGGTGAGTGCGGGCTGCTGCCTGGTGCCTTCGGAAAGCAGGATCACTACCACGAAATCAGGGCTTAGGAGAGTGGGTCTCCTGCTGGAGCCAACTGCTTATGGCCCTTGTCTCGGTGGGGCCTTCAGCCTGGGTCACTCAGAATGCACACAGGCTCAGCTCTATGATGGGTGTTGAGCAGAGCCTGCCAGAACCCACAGTAGGGGGGTGGGTGAAGGGGAGCCCAAGGTATAAGGAGTCCACCCAGAAGTGACGGCCATCCAGTCTGTCTTCCTTCATTCAGGGCTTGAGCTCAGTGCCTCCTGTGAGCTGAGCTCCGCATGGAACACTGACAGAGCTTTCTGGTTCTGCCTCTTCCAAGGGCACAGCCAGTGGTAACTCCATGCCTGGAGGCTTTTATAAAGTCTGCTTGAAGGGCACAGAGTGGTTCTCACCTTCCATATATCCAATAAGCACATGCTCTTTCCCATTATACCTCCTAAACCACCTCATGCCTCCACCCTCCACCCCTGCTGTGGGGCATAATAGTCTCAAAGAACTTAGAAGGATGAGTTGGAGGTATATGAAACAAATTTTAACATCTCAAGGTAATGGAAGCGCCACAGAAATACGGAATGAGAAAGCTGTTATTGGCGAGAGTTATTCACAGAAGGTTTTATCGACGAGTTGAGAGTCAAGGTGAGTCTGAATGGTAGGGCAGGATTTGAAGTGGCAGGAAAAACAGAGACCAGCAAAGGCAGGAAAGTGGAGCCAGGCAGAGTAGAATGCATTGTGTGGAGGGTAGGGGGCAAGAGGCAATTTACAGAGCTACTATTAGATGCTAAGCCTTTTCACATATTTCTCTCATTTTCCGCTCTGAGTGGGCTCTTACCCCATTTAACAGACAGGAGAATGGAAGCTCAGAGAGTTTAAGATCTACAGGCAGAATCTGAACCCTGTTCTTGAAACATACTGGCTGTAGCACCATATCGGAGTTCTGCATGCAGAGTGGGGGCAGCTGATGAGCCTGAATTGTCAGGCTGAGCAGGTTAGCTGTGGACAAGGCATTTGGGATGAAAGAGGTAGGGGAATGGGAGACCAGGGAGGAGGCACTGGGGAGCAGTGGGGAGGGGGCCGTGAACATGGACAGTAAGTGCCATGGGCTTTTGTCAGGAAGACCTGGCAGAACTCTGACAATGACTCACTGAGTGAAAGAGGTGAAAACCTGACTCCAGACTTCTGAGCATGAGTGTTTGGGCCCTATGTCAATTCAGTGGGGCCACCTCACCCTCTTGAGGGCCGATGTCAGTGTATTCACAGGCTGATCATGCAAAGAAGGAGATGTTACCAGCCCCTTATCCTCTCAGTGCCCTGAGCGCTCAATCCAGCGTCCACCTCCCCTGCCCCTGAAATATCTGTCACATGTGCTTCAGCTCCCAACCAAACCATGAGCCTCTGGGGGACTGAGACTGTCCACACAGCATCACGTCAGGACTAGTACCTTAGAGTAGATGCTCACTAACTGATTGCTGAAGAATAGGTAAGGTGGGAATGTTCGGGTGGCTCAGTCTGTTAAGCATCCCACTTCAGCTCAGGTCATGATCTCAAGGTTTGTGAGTTCCAGCCCTGCATCCGGCTTTCTGCTGTCAGTGCAAAGCCGGCTTCATCCTCTGTTCCCCTCTCTCTCTGCCCCTCCCCCATTCATGCTCTCTCTCTGTCTCTTTCAAAAATAAATAAACATTAAAAAAAAAAAATAGATAGGGTGAAAGCAAGGAACGTTTGCCAAGTGGCTGGGTCCTGAGCGACAGACCCTGTAAGACGCATGGTGAGTAAGGAGAGAATGAGGCAACGTTCTCCTGAGTTGACCTTAAGTTTCATGTACTCAGTGAGACTGAGAAAGGGCACAGGTTTTGGAGCCAGAGGTTTGAAACTCTTCCTTTGTGCTGCTTCAGGAAAAATGCTTAACTTCTCTGAGCTCTAATTCTTTCTTGTGGAACAATATTAATTCAATAATAGCAATTGAGACTTGCTGGATCCCAGCATGTAAGCCATGATTGCTAAGCACATTTGTGCATCGGCTCACTGAAAATTTCACCAACCCTAGGACTCTGGAGATGGAGGGGGGGGAACACATGCGTCACATTACATCACTCGCAGTGATAGAGTGGAGAGCTAAACCTGGGGCGATCTGATGGTGAAGTCCTAGTGTTGAACTGCTACCTGGTGACACTTTTTCAAGATGAGGGTAGCAATGAGGGTGTTAAGTCATACTCACAGGACTGTTGTGAGATGTAACAGGGGTTACACGTGTCTGGCACAGAGCACACCTCGGTAAATGGTAGTTCCTCTCTCTCTTTAATTTTTTAATTTTTTTAAAAAATTTATTTCTGAGAGTGTGAGCAGGGGAGGATCAGAGAGAGGGAGACACAGAATCCAAAGCAGGCTCCAGGCTCTGAGCTAGCTGTCAGCACAGAGCCCTACACAGGGCTTGAACCCACGAACCATGAAATCATGACCTGAGCCAAAGTCCGACGCTCAACTGACTGAGCCACCCAGGTGCCCCTGTTTTTCTCTCAACCTGCTCCCATGGTGGCCCCTCTGAGCCAGATGCTTTGCTGGGAAAAGATGGGGACTCAGTGTTCTGTCTTTTGGGAGCTCTTAGGTAATCACTCCCGAGGATTTAATGGCCCTGTTATTGACCTTTTGCCCTGTCAGTTTAATCTCTAAGCTTAGCCATGCATAGCCCCCGCTAGGCAGGATGCTGGGTACACGCTCTGCAAGCGATCCTCAGTTCATTTCACTGGGCTCTGAAAGCAGGGGTCAGACCCTGAGCAAGGTGGCATGGGGCAGCAAAGAGTGGAGGAGCCTGGCAGAGGAGCCGAGTCAGGGAATGAAGGCTGGGGATGTGGGGCACCTCCTCCAGTGGGTCCTCCAGTGGGTGGACAGCCTCTGCCCAGCCAAGCCCTCACCCCCCAGGAGACCCTGGGCGGGGCCTCTGGAGTCACAGAGGACTGTTGCCCCGCCATTGGCCCTAGTAGGTAGAGAGTGTGGCCCTTAGGCTTACGCTTCACCTACAGCGTGTACACAAATGCAGAGCCCTGGCCCTCCCCAGGGCCCTATTCGGCAGTTCTTGGAATCTGCATTTTGACAAGCTCTCCGGGTGATTCTGATTCAGGTCAGTGGATGACCCCTGTTTGGAGACACCCCAGCCCAAGGCTCCCATTGCTCTCTGACCGCTCCCTGCTTGGGCTCAGCAAGTACAGAGCCCTGTTCTGGCTGTTGGGAGACAGTGAAAGGTGAGCAGAGGGAAGCAGAAGCAGATTCGCGGGGAAGCTGATGAAGCTTAACCTTTAGGGTTGCTCACTTGTGGGATGAGGGAGGGCAATGAAAGGTGGCAGAGGTTGGGGCGCCTGGGTGGCTTAGTCGGTTAAGCGTCCGACTTTCGCTTGGGTCATGATCTCGCGGTTCGTGGGTTCGGGCCCCTCGTCAGGCTCTGTGCTGACTGCCAGCTCAGAGCCTGGAGCCTGTTTCAGTCTGTGACTCCCTCTCTCTCTGACCCTCCCCTGCTCNTCAGGCTCTGTGCTGACTGCCAGCTCAGAGCCTGGAGCCTGTTTCAGTCTGTGACTCCCTCTCTCTCTGACCCTCCCCTGCTCACGCTGTCTCTCTCTCTCTCTCCTAGAAATAAATAAAACATTAAAAAAACTTTTGAAAGGTGGCGTGTTCTAGGTGGGGAGAGGAGGCCATTTTGCAAATAGGAAGCATTTTGATGTAAGCATTTCTGGTCCACTGAATGAAGAGATATTAGAAGAAAGGGGTCTGAGTTTCCAAGGCTTGTGTACAGTGCTGTGATCGCTCTAGTTCTAAAGAAATATCACCTTTGGGCCGAATTTTGTGTTTGTTCTTTTTCTTGAGAGGCCGCGGCTTCTTC